GGGGGGGGTTGAATTGAATGATCAATTATTAGACCCGGACGTCCCAACACTTGCTTCGCAAGACAAACTCAAGGTATCCCCTAAAGGGCTACCTTTCGTGACATAGTATTTGGTGTTAGAGCAATCTTTGTATAGGTCCGTTTTTGATGGGCTGACCGCAGAAACAACCGGACGCATGGATGGTGCAGCAGCACATGCTGTGCTTTCTCCGCGCTGCGCGCGCTGCGCGGCGCTGGCGCTGCAGGAGGTGTTTTGGTCTTAATGAGCATTGTGATCGAACAGCTTCCCTTCCTCTTGCCCATCAACCACAAGGCAGTGACGGAGACTGAGACTTCGTAACATCAATCACTCAAAAGCTGTGAAGAGTCGCCAGACAACAGCGTACTTGTTGTTTCTTACTTCGACCTAAAGGGCTCACAGGGTGTTTTTTCAGTCTCGAAGTAAGAAAGACTGCACGTAGCTCCACAGGATGTTGCTGGTTGGAGTGAGGTGTGTTGGTGGAGCTCACAGGTTGTTGGAGTCATTCAATTGAATAAACTATACTTTTGAGTTCCTAATAGCGATGGCCTCCAACCTAATAGATCTAATAGCTAATAGTGATGGCCTCCAACCTAATAGCAATGGCCTCCACCCCATTAAGGTTGTTGGAGTTATTTTCCTGTTAAGCTTGCTGATGAAAGCAGACTCCCACGCCCAGCCTGCTTGTGGGAGGCTGTTCGCTTTGTGGTACGTAGATTAAATCAAAGGCAACGAGTTGGTCACTGTACTGTGGGGTGCCTTATGCGAAGAATGTAGGAGCCTCATGACCAGATGCCCTGGTGAGAGGCTGATTACAGATCATCTTCAAATCAAAAGACGGGTATATAGTAATGTAGACTCTGAATAAAGCACCCAATTGAAATGGACAATCCTCGTCATATGTGTTTTTTTAATCAAGAGTCTACAGTATTATACGTATATTTTAAATCTCAGTGTAAATCTCCATTGACTGACCAGATGCCCTGTTTGCGGTTCTTGCACAAGTGGGGCACAAAACAGCACGAGCAGTGTGTGTATAAGTGTGTGGACAAGCTCCTGTTTCTAGAAACTCTTTGCTCTTTGGAAACACCGATGGCATTTTCGGCGTCGGAGATTTGAGGGGCCTTTTGGGAGCCGACCTGGGGCCTGGGGTGGAAAGGTGCCTCCGAGCTTCCTGGAGTCGACCTGGAGTCTACCTCAGAGTCTCCTCATAAGAAAGTACCTGTTTTGGGGGTTCGGGTCATGTACCATTTTCGATTGCAAAGGAAGTCGTCCAGGATTCCAGAGCTGGACTGCTGGCAGTACTGCTGGCAATCGCTGGGTTCTGAGCCATCATGTGACCCCCGGTTTCCCCGGGCACTCCCAGAACTTTGACATCCACACCCACCGTGCGACACGTGTGATGAGGGTGAGTGACCGCTACTGAGCATCGAGAGAGTGATCTGGGTGATCGTTGGGCTCGTTTGGCCTATTAAGGCCGTTTGGATTGATCAATGTGAGGGGCCTTCTAGTCGCAACTTCCCCTCCAGTCGAAGGAGCCGGTTACAGCGAGCTCAAATGCAAACAGGCTGACCTTCCCAAGCCTGTTGCTGCTGTGTTGAGGGTGGTGCAACAGGATGCAATTGGACCCTACAACATATATAGATAAGTAAATCAGTAAATGGCACAGAAACTGTACATTTCATCACACCGCTACCGCGACTTGCCCTACAATTGTTTGTCTTCGCCAGGTGACTGCTGTGTTGAGCTGCATCGTAGCCATTCTCTTCTGCTTGCTCCCAAAGAAGGTGGGGGGCATTTGGGTGATTGATGGAGTAAACATGTGGGAGGAAGATGAAGAAAGAGTTCTCCCACGCGAGAAGGCGAAGCATTGATTGAAGACCCTGCTGTTACAAATGCCAGGGGTTGAGAGCCTTTGGGTGGTGGAACATTTCTTCGCCCCAGCAGTTGGCAGAACATGAGTGTCGAAGACGGTTTCTTGGGCAAGAACCAATGTTGAAGACGCTTGCTTTCCTTGTATAGAGCATTTTGAGGATTCTGAAAAGTCAACTATATGGTAGTCTTCTGAATTTTTAGTTCGACATCAGGCTACACACCTTGAGCCACAGGCCCCTCTGCAAAACGGCAAACATGTGCAGGAACTGCCGAGATATGCTGGCGCTGTTTCTCTTGAACAACGGACCCCTACACCAGCACGATCTGTCATGTTTTTTCTTCCTTGAACAGATCAGATCAATGATTAAACTGTGGCGAAAGTACTTCCAGAGGATATCGTCTTTAAGGGACATTGTCAGGTCATGAAGCCCTTGGGTAGGTGGAACGGGATATCCTCAAGTCAAGACCTGTGATGACCATCGAGGCCTTCTCCTGGATGGCCGTCGTTGGGATGGCTTCCCAAGTCTTCCTGGTCATGGGCTTGGTGATCACTGGCGCTTTGGCAGACTGTGGGATGACGGATGACCAGTAAAGCCTGGACCAATCCCTACAGACGTCCAGTCCCAAGCCTGGTCGACCTCCTGGAGTCCTGTTTTTGGATGACCAACCTCCAGTAATTCATGAGGTCCGTTCACTGCCCGGTAGGGAATGGACCCATGAACAACTTCCCAGACCAATCCATGAGAGTGGGTCTGAATAGATATGTGGCCCAGCCTATACATACTTTGGGATCTTTCTGTGTTTTGTATGATGTTGGTTAGGTACACACCATAGAAGCCAAGTGCAGAACGGATTCCAATGCAGAACGGATGAACGGATTCCGGTTGGACCCACGCACGTTGGTTTTTCTGTGTGTTGACATGTCCTTTTTCGGTGCGGTGACCGAAGATGGCCATCTGTTTGTCCAGTTCTGAGGCCTACAACTCCATTCTGCTGGCGAAGTGGCTGAAGACCAGGCATCCGGTCCTCTTTGGATCTCTATGGGTCTGTGGGTTGGAGTTGACAGATACCGTAGTAGCCAGGTTGGTCTTCTTTGGATCTCAGCCACTTCTTGATGGGGTGAGGAGTTGAAACATACAGTAGTAACAAACCGGCCAACCGACCTTCCGTCGTGTTTGGACGGTTTTCCCAGATTTGGAGATAGATGTTTCTTGACATTTCCTGGTGAGCCCAGTTGGGTCACCGTGTTCGAATCCAGATTCGCCCAAAAGCATTTACGGTGGTTTCAGAGGTTCGATGTCACTGGCACAGCAGGAGGTTTTGTGAGATGGGGGGCCCATATAAGTTGGGGAGTGTGCCGTCTACTCTGAAACCACCGCCAATGCAGCATCATGCAAAATCACCTTTCCTTTGGATGAAGGTGATGTGGTCCATCGGTATCTCTCCGAATCAGAAGATCTCAGAACTGGGCATGCAGACAGTGTGTTGTTTCCTTCAAAAGTCATTACACTCGATTTGAACCGATGAGCAAATAATCCGGCCAAGCAAGATCAGAGGATCATTCACCAACGCATGTGCAGTGCCAGAGAAGCCTTATTTAGTGCAGTGTCCTACTCTCCATGCGTGTCCTAGCACTGCCTAACTGACGTTGCAAATGCTCCAGAAGCAGCGAGTGTTTACAGATGCAATCACCAAAAACCTGACAAAAATATAGCACTTATAGCACCAAAACTCGCAACTGGTCGCCTATGTGCTCGCAACCTGCCACTTTGTCGCAGGAGATGAAGGTCGGAGTGACCCGCTAGTACCACAAAGCCCAGCAACCAGTTTATACGTGAATTCCTGCACTGCCTTTCATCCACAGTTCACAAGGTCTTCTTTGCAGAAAAGTATTTCTTGGAACACTTCCAAATCTTTTCACGAAAGGTAGCCCTTTAGGGGATACCTTGAGTTTGTCTTGCGAAGCAAGTGTTGGGACGTCCGGGTCTAATAATTGATCGCTCAATTCAGACCCCCCCCCCC